TGGAGTTTGCATGTTCTACCCGTGTCTGCGTAGGTTTCCTCCGAGTGCTCCGGTTTCCCCTTCCACTAAAAACATCAACTTTAGGTCTGGCATGTGCCTCCTGTATGTGACCTCACTGCTATCTCTGTGTGGAGTGAGAGACAAATGCCCACAACAATTGTACAGCGCTGGTCTGTGAAAGGCGCTATTTAAACATAAGTGATTTCTAATATTACTGATAAAAAACCTTGCTCTCAAGTTGCTATTTTTCAAGTAGCAATATGTAAGATTTTTGAAGATATATTAATCCGATATATAATATCCAAGATATATGAATTTCAAAAATTGAATTTACAGCCCGATGTCCCGCCCTCCACCGTTTCACCAATCAGAACAACTGTGATCCGGGTTTCCAGAATTCACAGTGTCAAGCTAATCTCACTGGCGCAGAACTTAAAAAGGTCTCGTTATGATTCACAAATCATTAACAACAAAACAAGGAATAGAACGAGGATTTCTTTCTTTCTGAAATAGGTGTTGGTTTTAGATTTGTTGTTAATGTTGACTATTCAGATATTATGGTCCCAGTTGGACTTGTCTGCATATCTGGCAACCTGAGTTGGGAGAGTGGGAGAGGTTGCAGTACCACTTTTGGCCAGATTTTTACATACTGCTGTGTAAGTGCTGTCTTTCCATGATTCTAATCCAAATCCAGAAATAACTCCCCTTCATTTTATCGTCCATAGAGATATAATATTTTCCTGCTGAGACACGTGTCGCATCAGCCACACACTGAGAGCGGGAAGTCTCTGCTGACATGTTTAACCTTGTGAATGGCCGTGTGATTAGGCCTCATTATAATGTCACACAATGGAGTTTCTCTGATCTACTGCAGACTGAAAGAACAATGAGAGAGCACTGAGGTCACCTTCTCACCGCTGCACACACTTTACAACACAACTCTATAAAGTTACTTTGTGACAGCACTCCTGATCTGCAAGAGAGCTTTGTGCAAACGTTAAGTAAATATAGTCAGTTCATCCATCCATTTTCTTCCACTTCATCCGTTGCCGGGTCGCGGGGGCTGCAGTCCAAGCAGAGACGCCCAGACTTTTCTATCCACACACTCTTCCATATCCACACACACTTCTTTATCCACACACACTTCTTTATCCACACACACTTCTATATCCACACACACTTCTTTATCCACACACACTTCTTTATCCACACACACTTCTATATCCACACACACTTCTTTATCCACACACACTTCTTTATCCACACACACTTCTATATCCACACACACTTCTTTATCCACACACACTTCCTTATCCACACACACTTCTATATCCACACACACTTCCTTATCCACACACACTTCTTTATCCACACACACTTCCCAATCCACACACACTTCCTTGTCCACACACACTTCCTTATCCACACACACTTCTTCATCCACACTTCCTTATCTACACACACTTCTCTATCCACACACACTTCCTTATCCACACACACTTCTTTATCCAAACACACTTCCTTATCCACACACACTTCTTTATCCACACACACTTCCTTATCTACACACACTTCTCTATCCACACACACTTCCTTATCCACACACACTTCTTTATCCAAACACACTTCCTTATCCACACACACTTCTTTATCCACACACACTTCCCTATCCACACACACTTCCCTATCCACACACACTTCCTTATCTACACACACTTCCCTTTCCACACACACTTCCTTATCCACACACAGTTCCTTATCCACACACACTTCTTTATCCACACACACTTCTTTATCCGCACACACTTCCCTATCCACACACACTTCCTTATCCACACACACTTCCTTATCTACACACACTTCTCTATCCACACACACTTCCCTATCCACACACACTTCCCTATCCACACACACTTCTCTATCCACACACACTTCCTTATCTACACACAATTCCTTATCCACACATACTTCCTTATCCACACACACTTCCTTATCCACACACACTTCTTTATCCACACACAATTCCTTATCCACACACACTTCCTTATCCACACACTTCCTTATCCACACACACTTCTTTATCCACACACACTTCCCTATCCTCACACACTTCCTTATCCACACACACTTCTCTATCCACACACACTTCCTTATCTACACACACTTCTCTATCCACACACACTTCCCTATCTACACACACTTCCCTATCCACACACACTTCTCTATCCACACACACTTCCTTATCTACACACACTTCTCTATCCACACACACTTCCCTATCTACACACAATTCCTTATCCACACACACTTCCTTATCCACACACTTCCTTATCCACACACACTTCTTTATCCACACACACTTCCCTATCCTCACACACTTCCTTATCCACACACACTTCTCTATCCACACACACTTCCCTATCTACACACACTTCCCTATCCACACACACTTCCTTATCCACACACACTTCCTTATCCACACAAACTTCTCTATCCACACACACTTCCTTATCCTCACACACTTCCTTATCCACACACACTTCCCTATCTACACACACTTCCCTATCCACACACACTTCTCTATCCACACAAACTTCTCCATCCACACACACTTCCTTATCCACAAACACTTCCTTATCTACACACACTTCTCTATCCACACACACTTCCATTTCCACACACACTTCTTTATCCACATACACACTTCTTTATACACACACACTTCTTTATCTACACACACTTCTCTATCCACACACACTTCTTTATCCACATACACACTTCTTTATCCACACTCACTTCTTTATCCACACACACTTCCCTATCCACACACACTTCCTTATCCACACACACTTCCTTATCCACACAAACTTCCTTATCCACACACACTTCTTTATCCACACACACTTCCCTATCCACACACACTTCCTTATCCACACACACTTCCTTATCCACACAAACTTCCTTATCCACACACACTTCCTTATCCACACTCACTTCCTTATCCACACACACTTCCCTATCCACACACACTTCCTTATCCACACACACTTCCTTATCCACATACACTTCTTTATCCACACTCACTTCTTTATCCACACACACTTCCCTATCCACACACACTTCCTTATCCACACACACTTCCTTATCCACACAAACTTCCTTATCCACACACACTTCCTTATCCACACTCACTTCCTTATCCACACACACTTCTTTATCCACACTCACTTCCTTATCCACACACACTTCTTTATCCAGCTCACCCGTGGGGACAGTTTAATTATAATTAACTTGTGACCTATCAGTCTGCAATACTCAGCCTTTACCTTATGTCCAAGTTTTGAATCAGTCCAATCCAAACTTGACATAATCTGTACCAGAAATCTATACAACATAACCATACAATCAAAACAATATATTTGTATAACATTCCTCCATATGTTACTATTGTTATCTTTTCAGAATAATCTATCTATCTCTATTTAGTTCTATCTAATTATTCCACATGAAAACATATTTCAATACAAGCCAAAGAACCATTTAAAAGTCAACTGCAAAGACAGTTTTAACAAATGAGTCTTCAAGTTAGTGAAGGTTTATGTCAGTAAAGGTTTGTCAGTCACAGATTCATAAAAAAAAAAAGTGTTCCAAAAGGCAGTGATATAGATTGGCCGTTAACGACGACCCGCGGGTGCGTCTTGAGTGCGCTCCTCACTGTTTCCAAACATAGGCCTCTCGCTGGCTCAGTGCAGCGCGGCTCAAACAACCGCTTGCCTCCATATTAAAAAGCAGATTTCTCATTAAGATATTCATATATAGGCTATTAGGAGGAACTGCTTATTAAAATCCAAAATGGTTTTCTCAAGTGCTCTGTGTAATGAAGTTTGATTGCATCCAGGTGTCAGGCATTAACTTACTGCTGCTCTTGCCTAATCCAAATTGACTTGATTGATATCCCAGGAGCAAGTCTGTGTGGCCACTTTCTTATTAAAAGTGTGGAGCTATTCTCATGCTCATGGTACTATATTTTCGACATTAGGGCTGAGCTATTTTGGCAAATGATCTAATTGCCAAAATAGATAACAAACCTTGCTTTCCTGATGAGATTTGCGGTGCATGTTTAGTAACCTCTGTTCCAACGGCCTTTTTAAATTATTTAAGTTTTGTTGGATTTTGGATTTTGTTAGTTGGGCAGCATAGTTGTAATTACTGAATGATCATGGGTCATTTTACTTGTTTCAAGGTTGAGAAAAATATACATAGAAACATACATACATAACTTTTCTTGATGGCAAATGTATTTGTTATCATGAAAATATAATAATATAATAATTGTTGCTATACCGATAGGCCCAAACCAGGTGGAATATAAAAGATGACATTGGATGACACTTAATAGTTACAAAATACATACAAACATACTGTAAACAGAAAGAATCATCTAACCAAAAGAGATGGTTTGAAGAGGGAGAGAAGGAAGACCCTGGCAGGCCACAGGATGTTGACCCAGACCCTACACAGACCAAGAGAGCAGTAACAGCTCTCTCTTTACCAGTCTTCAGTGAAATCATTACAGTCAAAACCTGAATTAATGCAATTTTAGGCCTGGGGCACATTTACACATCTTGGTTGGGTTCACTTTAACTAGACCAATTCTGGCAAAATGTGTTTTATTTGTGAACAATACATGTGTCCAGTTAAGTCAGTTCACAGACTTGTCCGACAACCTTGAATGTTTCTGAATGCAAGTTTATTACCAACAATTCTTTCTGGTTGTGTGCACTTAACTTTAAACAACGCACTCTTTGCACTGTCCCAAGTGTTTATTCCAGAAACAGAATCATTTGTATTGCCATGTAAGTAAAAGGAAGTCACAGACTAGGAAATTGCTTTGGCTCTCGGTGCAAACAACTCACATTTTCAGGGTTGAATGGCCCATTACAATATGAATTGTATGAATGAATTTCAGTTGAAATTTGATGTAAACCTTGTGTTTCCAGGCGTTCCCTCCGCTCCTCGAAACCTGGTGTCCATAGTGAACCAGACGTCGGTGGTTTTGGAGTGGCATCCTCCGCGGGACACTGGCCACAGAGAGGACCTGTCCTACAGCGTGATCTGCAGGCGCTGCCATAGCCCCGAGCGGAGGGCGTGTCAGCCGTGCGACGACAGCGTGGGTTTTGTGCCCGGGAAGAGAGGCCTGAGGGACACCCGCGTGGAGATCAGCAAGCTGCGGGCACACACCTCCTACACTTTCGACGTCCAGGTTTGTTCAAGGCCTTGTGTGAAAGAAGGGATTGGGCAATAAACAGCCTTACAGGAATTGTAGTATTATAAATAGTCATTTTTGATATTTTAGCCGTGACGCGTAGCGAAGGGGTCCGATTGCGCCCTGAAGGAACTTGTTTTCTGATTAGGACCTGCATATTATACATTATCCCGCTTATTATACGGCTATCTTATCTTATTTGTCAACTGAACACACAAAATGAACTCCAGTCCACTTTTATGAATAATGAAAGGACATGGGAAGTTTCAGGTTAGCCTCCGCCGCTTGTTTACCTCAGCTGTCTGTGCTAACAAGAGACCTGTAGCTTTTCTCAAGAAAGTGGGGGCCAGTGGTCCGCTGTGATTGGTCATAATCGGGACCCGAAACACATTCTCTTCCTTGTTGCTCAAAAATTCGATCTAAAATTAAATGACACGCCAGCACAAATCTGCGCTACTTTTTCTTCAAAAGGACGTATATCCCAATGCATTGCATGGATATGGATTGCATTTTCGTAATGAATACAAACATAAAGTCAGTTAGTGCAGTTTTAAGACAGGAATGTGCCTACTCCAAAGTATAACTAAAAGGGTGGGAAAACAATGCAGAGTGAATGCTGGGAGCGAGGCTAGCCTGTCTAATTAGCACGCTGTTGTTCAGTGATTTGCCGTTGACTGAAAGCGTTTTATGACTTCCAAAATGAGCTCCCCATAAACAATATACGGCAGCTAATTAGGTGTCTTAAACGCACTTTGAATGCCGTAATTGATTTGTGTTTGTGGTGTGGAGATTCTGATAAGAAGAGAATGTTGTATTTATATTTAAATCAGTGGAGGTGTGGACGATGCTTTTTAATGTGGTTTTTGCTTCTGAAATTACTTCCCAATATGTTGTTTCATTGCAGTAATCAGTTTTTCTAGTTTTTAAAGGACCACACAAAAGTATTCTGCATGAGGATGTGTTAGACCAAATCTGTCAACAAAAAATCCATGTACTTTTGTAATTCAACATGTGAAAGTAATATACGACAGATCTATTGAACTGTTAAAGCTGGTTGAAACAACAGAACCTGGACAAAACCGCACAAATCAGACAAGGATCATTTTATATTTCTGAAATTCTCTTTTGCCACACACTCATGTTTTAGACGGAAAAACCACACCCACATCATGTCCACATCATTGTCACTTCAAAGATTCCATCCATCCATTTTCTACCCTTTAATCCATTTCTGGGTCAGGGGGGTGGCAGTCAGAGATGCCACCCAAGTCTCATAGCACCAGCCCCTCACTGACCCTCTGCAGGTGGTGAGTCCACAGGAGGACGGCTGCTCTCTGAGCGGCCTTGATCTTACAGTGGGGGCTTTTTGGGCAAAGTAGGGTTAAGTGTCTTGCCCAAGGACACAACGACAGCAGTCATCAGTGGGAGTCGGTGGGGAAGGTGTAGAGATGGGAATTGAACCCACGACCTTCAGGCCTTAAGGCCAATGCTCTACCAACTGAGCTACTGTACTTCAAAGATTCCATATGGCTTAAACCAGGGGTGTCCAAACTTTTTAGTAAGAGGGCCACTTTAGTTCATCAGACTTGAGCTGGGGCCGCCAACCTGGATTTAAACTGGATTTGAGCTGGATAGACTGGATTCTGGAATTAAAAATGGGTTATTGATCCACTCCACAGCTGTATTTTAATTGGAATGTTGTGACTCAATCATTAAACAAATGACAGTATTTAACAACAGAGTCAACGGCTTGATTCCAGAGGGTCTGAGATTTACAACAAGGCAAGGCAAGTTTATTTGTATAGCACAATTCATACACAAGGCAACTCAAAGTGCTGAACAAGATAGCATTTGTTCACACCAACAAGGTATAGCATGACTGTATTGGTGGAGCTGAAGTTGGTTGGACGACACTGTCCAAGTGCCTCAATGGCGACTTTGTGTTATCAGCAGAAAGGCCACATAAAATGGGACAGAGGGCCGCAATTGGCCCGTGAGCCTGAGTTTGGACATGCCTGGCCTAAACCATTAGTTTTGTTCAGTTCAAACATTTTAGCCTAAAAAGGTTTCCGGTCTCATCAATCGCTGACAACCCAAAAATTGCACTTAGCAAATTACACTTACTATCACAACAACACAAACTAATGACATCTTGACATCCATAACAACGCAAACATTACAGACTACACATCTCCTACCTTGGCAACGCAACTAGTCACCTTAATGAGTGTGCTTTTATGTTTTGTTTGTGAAAGATACCCAGACATAAGACAAAAAACGAGACTTCTACAAAACTGCGTACAAAATAAAGTTTTATTAATCAGAAGGTTTGAGCGTATTCTGAACAAGCATAACGCAGCTTCCCCATCTTCTCTGGCCTCAGAAGTCTGTCGTACAATCACAGGGGAGCTCCTTATATACACCAGAAAATGTTTAGGTCAGCATAGACTTTAAAAGCATGACTATGTGGGAAGTAAGCGTATGGTTTCAAAGTTGCGTAACGGACCAAACTCCAATGTACATGAGATAGCATTATCTCATGTTATGTACATCAACACCTTATCTGCTCCATGCTTCTGTAAGCAGTCCAAAGTACAGGTGTTATGTCTCTACTGAACTATTTAACATGATATTTTAAACAGCAAATAGTAATTAAATATTCACAGTCCCTCTCTTGATCACATCCACATGTGATCACAAATCAATATTTAATGTAGAGGCGCAAGTCGCTACCTCTCTGTTGATTATATTAGTTTGTAATCATTAGATTATATGACTGTTGAAAAATACAATATAATTTTTTAAAACAAGTTTTCTAAACCCGGTGTTAAACTTTTCTATAATTCTTGCTAATTTTTTAGACTTTCTTCACACATACTCAACTCGTTCTTGTAAAATCTCTTCCCAATGCATTTTTTCCCTCTTATTCAACTTTCTCTTCCCCAGCTGAAAAACTAACTCCTATCTCTCTCTTTCTCTCTAAATTTTGTTCTAGTTAGTGAGTTAACATTAATTTTGGTCTAGCTGTTTGACATATTATGCAGTCTGTTTGGTTTGCTTGTTCAGCTTGTTGCCTAACATTTTCTAACAAAGTAAATAAATAAACAAAAAAACAAAAAATAAAAACAAACAAAAACAAACTCTATTGGACACACAAGAACTCAGCAGATTCAGTCAAAACACAGACAAAAACGAGCTGAGTCTCAAATTTGAAGCTAATTTCACTTTTCTTACTCTATACTTTTATTCTAATGCTAATTATTTAAACTTCACTTATTTCACTGTATTATTTTCACTATTCAATCTTACACTGTGTACTTTACTTTTACTATTCACTATAGTTTAAAATTATTCCAATCCACCTACAAATATGTTTGCATATTTGCTTCTATTGAGCCACATTCTTAAACATACATTTCAATCCAACAAATCTCTCTATTCTGTGGTTTACTTTCCTTATCAGTGGCACATTATTATGGCAGTCAGTTTTCCAAATACATTTGTTGAACCAGGAAGTGCTGGCAGTTTGGGATGAATGTAAATCATTAATCAAATTAGTATTATCCTTACAAGAGCTAATCTATTTTAGCAGGTTTGGGGTTGGGGTCAGTTATTATTCTACAATGGTGTTTGATTTTCTAATCTGTGCTGGAAACTTCTCAATATCTAAATGTCTACTTTTTGTTTTTGTGCTATACCCAAATGCATCAAAATGCTTTTAAATGCTTTTGAATCTCTGTTGGTTCAAATCTATCTCATTAATCTAGGCATTAATCTAGACTATACTCATATGAACTTTTTGTATTGTCATTGAACATTCACAGATGTTTGAACACAAGTGAATTTGGCAAGTATCTAATAAAACTGTACATAAAACTGTAAGTAACTTTATCTACTTTTGAAGCAAAGGTTTTGTGGAATGGTCCCTTTACCATTTGATATTACCAATGGCTAGAAATATTCTCTATTTTTGAAAGCATCTATGGTTGATGCATTTATCTATTCCTATTTTTACTCTATTGTGACTCTAAAGCTCATTTGCAGCTTGAGCAAAGGCATATTCCTAATTTGTGACTTCTGTTACTTTTAATATCTCTAAAATAACTCTGATTCTAATATTATATCTGCTCTATCAGAGATAACATTGTATGGTACTATTTTAACTCTTATGTGGAAATGTGTTTATGAACAACAAAGGAAGGACAATTCTACTTTTTTACTACTATTAAAACGCTACAATACTCATACTTTATCATTTTAAAACATTTTAACTGTTGCTCAGTCTCCCAGACTAAAAAGTCAAAGTTTTGTCTGTCTGATGTCTGAATACTTAACATTCATTGCATTTGGTCACAGTTGTGGTTCTGGTTTGTAGCAATAGCATCGGCAATAGACGGTTTTTCATTGGCTGGTTCTTGTTCTGCAAATGTCTGTGTCCAATAGATCATCAGATGTCCAGAAGCTAGGGACAAACAAAAATAAAAGAAAGAATCATGAGTATCTGTCTCATTTAGCACTCATCAATGTATGATTTTAAAAATATAAACATCACTCCCCAGTTTTCTCTCTCAGATCCTCAGGTCCTCAGGGTCCCCTGAGGGTGAGTCACAGTCGTCATCAGGTTCATATTTCGAGAGATGTCATCTTGGACATCAGCAGGGTCCAAGCCATGGTTTTGGTCTCTCCAGATGGACATCAGATCTCCAGATACAGTCTTTTCACTTGAAGCACATCAGGTCATTTGCGATGCACTTCTGGTCAATGGTGCAGTGTCACAGTTCCTGTACACAGCTTGTTATGCAATAGTTACTCTCTATGGTTAAGTCACTTTGATTCTACTTTAAAGACAATTTCTATTCATGCTGTTGCTAATATCCCTTTAGACAAAAGCAAGCGCAGTTTACTTCTCTAATTTGTGTTTTTATCAGATCTAATCCTCATCAATGTAATTACTTCACACAGTACAAAATCAACAAATCAAAAGTGTCAGGACAGAG